ATTAAATTTGTTGACAAAAAGTGATCTTGTTGAATATTGAATAAGTTAGGATGGTGTAGAAGTGCACACTTGTTCAAGTTTTTCAAGATTTAAAGTACATTGCTATTTAGGGGCGAAGCCCCTAAACGAACGGGGGTCCGGGGGTAGCGCCCCTGGGAGCGGGGTCCCAGGGGCGGCAGCCCCTGGCGGGGTCCAAGGGGCAGAGCCCCTGGCTGGGAAAAATCCAATTTTAGAAAGTTGACCCTTTATTCCATGACATCCGTTTAATGACAGTTTGGTAGTTTTATGACAGTTTGTAACTGTCTGTTGACAGTTTTCAGACAGGATTGATATATCCGTTTTTTGGTCAATATTCTGGTACATGTTGAAGAACATTTTCATATACATTCTCTGAATTTCATCCAATTGAGTGTTCGGTATGTACCATCGAAATACTTCAATTTGATAGTGAATCACGACTTTCAGAGAATCCAAGCAATCTATTCATCCCTTTTTCTAACACTACCAAGTGTTGCCATCTCTTACTGTTAGTCATTGATTTTTAACTTATTTGTCATGTTTGTTGAAATTTTTATGTAATCTTTGTAATGTAACAATTTGTTTTCTAGTCTAATGAAATATTTATCTTTTTTTTTTAGAAACAATAAATATATTAAAAAGCCACATGATTAGCAAATGACTAGATCATGGGCAAGGTACAATGAGATTACAAATAACATGCTTAACAAAAGTTAAAAGGTGAAATACACCAATCAATCCAACTACCACACGAATTAAAGCTTCGGCATTTAAACCACGAAAACAATTGGGAAATAATATCATCCGCGATCTTTGTCAAAGTCGTAATCACCTTGTTGAATGCCTTGTTGTTCCTTGTCATCCAAATGTACCAAATCATGTGATACAAGATTGAAATGAGGATCAACTTCTTCTTAGGGAAATTACCCCAAGAAGAAGCAAAGTCAAGTTAGTGTTCCATGTTGGAAAGTCGCTCACGAGTTATGCCACACCATTTATCATGTTGTGTTGTTTGTTGATTATCTATTTATTCTCTATTATAACCATAGTTATTTATGAAGATAATAACTTTTAATAATCTACTAATTATAGCAAATCCATCTCAGTATTACAAAATAAATTTTACAATAGATATCGTGAAAACTACTATCGTCATGGCCAAAACAACATAAGTAAGATAACATTTGCAAACTTTTATTTTTCATACTTCAAACTAGTATTTTCATCATATTTCTTCAACTCCAACTGCATTTCCTTCGGTCCTAACATTTGATCTTCCAACACCAAACTATCATTTTTTGCTCTAACATGCCCGGGAATTAGCAAACTCAAACAACACCCAAAGATCTTCAATTGGTCAACATACCTCAAATCCACATCTAAATATCCTTTTTTTACACATACTAGAAAGGTTTGGAAGAATCAAAAAATGTCCTTCAAATTATCTAACACAACCAAGTTTTTATTGTTTTTGTCTACCAAAAAATCATCAGATTTGGAATTTGATGACATCTTCCATCAAAGGACTATCATCCTTCCCCACTCTATTGTTTGAACCGGTAACTACATGAGTATATGACAAGGGGTGAGATTAATTAAGGGAAAATGACTTAAAAAGTAATATAGTTTTTTGGTTTATACATGTTTAGTCATTATTGTTTTTTTTTTTTGTAAAATAAGCCCTTGAACTTCTTGTTTTTGTATACATCTAATCCTTATGACCGATTACTGCAGATTAAGTTCTCAGTCTGTACACATTTAGTTTTTAATTTATTTATTTGTTTATTTTTGTAAAATAAATCATTGTTATTTTTTATACATTCAGTTTTTATGATAAGTTTCTTCAAGTTTTACTCACATGACATCATGTTTGGGATATTGATTAATAAAGTGTTCCAATACATGATTAAACCACCTATTTAATAGTTTCAAGCTCATCTTTAAATTTTGGAGTCAAATTGAAAAGAACAAAAAACCTATTTGTTGAAAATGGTCAAACTAAAGCTTAAGACATATTCCTAGAGAAAACTAGGACATCAACAATATTTGACCGATACGTGAATTAGGTTACTGATATAAGAGAGGGATAAACCACGTATGAGAACACCTTATTAATGATTGACCCACATAGGATGTTATATGAGCAAAACCAAAAAAACGATCATAAGAACTTAGTGTCAATAAAAACAATAAGGACTTATTTTGCAGCAAAAAAAACATTAAATACTAAATGTATACAAAATGAAAACTTAACATGGAGTAGCCGGCCATAATCTGCAATAACCGATCATTAGAAAGTATACAAAACCAAAAATATAAAATATCATTTTCCCATTAATTAACATCCACCTCTTGTGTTTTATGAGTTTCCGAAAGATATATAGTCACCATTATACTTTGTACCACTAATATTGTTTTCTTATATTTTTTATGTATATATTTACACAAAATATTTTAGCTATGACAAAATTACAAAAATAGTCCCTATGGTTTGTCAAAAGTTATAAAGTCAGTTCCTACTAATTTTTTTTGATGTAAATGATCCTTGTGGTTTGTAAAACTTGCAAAGATGACCCTTTTTACTAACACCGTTAGTATTCAGCCGTTAGAGACTGAATCTGAAAGGGCATTTTCATCTTTTCAAGTATAAAGGAGCTGAATTCGTGACATTTTAAAAACCACAGGGACTATTTTTGAAGTTTGTTTGGAAAAATAAATTAATTGGGTAAAAGAAGTTGGAAAGAATTGAACACACAACCTCCCCTTTACATTCCCAAGCATTAACCACTAAAGCTAAATGCTCACATGGTTGTAATTTCCTAAAACCGTTATATAATATAACGAAAACGTTAATACATAAATAAAAAATAAATAAAAAAAGATTTTTTGTATATAAATATTTTCAAATAAAACAAAAATGTATTTTAGTCGTATTATAAAAAAATAGTTTCTTACAAACAATTTGTATGTATTTTTATGTATTTATTTTACGTAAAAAATATTTTATTTATGTATTTAAAAATATGTTTTCATATAAAACATATGTTTTCGTACACGTTTTTTTTATGTCAAGAGTAGTATTGATTATCGTTATTTTAAAAAGATATATCACTATTTATTTTCATCTTCATTTTAACCATACGTATTTCATCTTATTTAAAATACGTATTTCATCTTTTTTGAATACATTTAATCGAAAATCGGTTTTCTGAAAACCGCTTTTGGGTTATATGTATTTAAAAAAATATAAAAAAAAAACTATTCGATTATATATCTTATTTAAAATACGTATTTCATTTTAATCGTAAGTTCTAAATCGTATGGTTAAAATGAAGTTGAAAAGAAATAGTGATATATCTTTTTGAAATAACGATAATCAATACTACTCTTGACATAAAAAAACCATGTACGAAAACATATGTTTTATATGAAAACGTATTTTTTAAATACATAAAAAAATATTTTTTACGTAAAATAAATACAAAAAAATACATACAAATTGTTTGTAAGAAACTATTTTTTTTATAATACGACTAAAATACATTTTTGTTTTATTTGAAAAAAATTATGTAAAAAAATGTTTTTTTATTCATTTTTTATTTATGTATTAACGTTTTCGCTATAATATATACCGGTTTTAGGAGAATATAACCATGTGAGCATTTAACTTTAGTGGTTAATGCTTGGGAATGCAAAAGGGAGGTTGTGTGTTGGATTCTTCCTAACTTCTTTAGCTAATTAATTTATTTTTCCAAACAAACTTCAAAAATGGTCCCTGTGGTTTTTAAAATATCACGAATTCAGCCCCTTTAAACTTAAAAAGATGAAAATACCCTTTCAGATTCAGTCCCTAACGGCTGGATTCTTCCTAACTTCTTTAGCTAATTAATTTATTTTTCCAAACAAACTTCAAAAATGGTCCCTGTGGTTTTTAAAATATCACGAATTCAGCCCCTTTAAACTTAAAAAGACGAAAATATCCTTTCAGATTCAGTCCCTAACGGCTGAACACTAACGGTGTTAGTAAAAAGGGCCATCTTTGCAAGTTTTACAAACCACAATGATCATTTACATAAAAAAAAATTAGCAGGAACTGACTTTGTGATTTTTGCCAAACCACAGGGACCATTTTTGTAATTTTGTCTTTAGCTATATATTCATACATTCATAATCATGCTAATTGTTTTACTCGAATAGAATAATAATAATAATAGTTAAAATGGAGTTATTCAAAAGATTTTTTTCCGCGTTTTTGCAACAAAAATTACATCAAATGTTAACTTTTAACCAAAACGCTTATAGTTAGATTGTGTATTAACTTTTTTTTTTTTTTTATCTTTTACCAAAAAAAAAACAATCAATTTCGAAATGAATCACAAAGCTTGACATAACTATTGCGTTTGAGATACTTAAATTGATGTCAACAAGACAATTTTCAACCTTTTATTTCATCCAAAAAGATAAAATATAACCCTAAAAAACTTATCAATCTAGAAAAGCTACTACTTTTCACAAAGGAATAATACAAATTTGCTTAATTCATTCGCATATCACAAGTTCAACACTCCAAAAACCGATTTTCTACTACAAGGCAACATAATTAAAAGACAAAAATACCCTTCCCATCATCATCATCATAAATAACAACCGCATATCACAAGTTCAACACTCCAAAAACGATTTTCTACAAGACAACATAATTAAAAGACAAAAATACCCTTTCCATCACAATCATAAATAACAACCACATATCACAAGTTCAACACTCCAAAAACGATTTTCTACTACAAGACAACATAACTAAAAGACGAAAATACTCTTCCCATCATCATAAATAACAACCGCGTAAATTCGTCCACAAGTCATCCCAACTTTTACAATCTAAAAAGTTACAATCTACAAGTTAAATTAAGTCAACGCTTTTACAACAAACAAACATACCTAAAATCCCTAAAATACCCTCCCACCTACCCTACCCTACCCTACCACGGCACATCAACCTCATCCCGAAACTCCATCATATACTTCTCCGCCTTATCTTTTAACTCCCCCAACTCCCCTTCAAATTTCCTCGCCTTAATCTTCAACTCCAAAAGCTTCCCTTTAACTTTCATTATCTCATCTTGAATTCCCTTCTCTTCTTTTTTCGCCTCCACATATCTTTTCACATCCACCCCAAATTCCGACTCAAAAACAAGCCCCACAAGCGTCCGTATTTTCTCCCTCAAAAACCCAACTTTCATCCCCAAAATCTCAAAAGACTTCAAGGAATTATCCCACGCTTCGAGCTCCTCCTTACTTATCGTGAGCTTGCAGTTCTTGATCTCTTTTGCAATTGTTACAGTCTCCCCAATCATTCCCACCACAAGTTTATCGTAAATATTCTCGCGAATGCAATCGTGAAGGATTTGTTTTTTGTGAATGCAGAGTTTGTAGTAACCGAGTTTGACTTCTTCCGGAAGCTCCGAGTCAATGCATTGACCGTTGACTTTTATTCGGAAGTGGTCGAAGGATTTTAGGTCTTCGATTGATGTGAAAGGTTCTAGAACTTCTGATCCGATTTCTTCGCTGTTGGTTCCGGAATGTTCTAGAACTTCGATCGGTTTGACTAGGGTTGACTTTTTGTCCTTCTTTATGACCATGTTTATAGGAAGTGGGTCGAGGACCTCCACGTGTTTGTGTTTCTTTGTTTTAGGTGGGGGAGTATCTGTTTATCACAACAAAATGTAGTTTAACTAAATTACAAATTTAGTCCCCGTGGTTTACTCAAATTTGCGAGTTTAGTCTAGTTTTTTTATTCTTTAAGTCGTCCTTCTGTTTGATTTTTGTTGCGGATTTAGTCCCTCTGAAGATGAAATGCGAGTTTTTTGGGAAATAACATTGGTCCAAAGTTGTGATTTTGAGTAAAATACAGGGACTAAATCCGTAACACTTACAAGTTTGTAATTTGGTCTTGAAATGTAGGGTTAATCATATAAATGATGAAAATGGTAGGGTCCATTTAGCAAAAAGAATGTTTTTTTTCCATGTGAAAAAAAAAAGTTTTTTTTTTTTAAAGTAGTTGTATTATTTACCTGGGGGGAATTCGGTTTCATTTTCTTGGGGCTCCAAATTCAAAGGACCAATAGCACCATCAACTTCATTGGGTTCACTTGCTTTTATAATGTAAATCTACAAAAGCATGAATTGAGATTAAAAATTAAATGATTGTTTATATTTTTTCAATCTTGTTGTTGAATCAGAATATCAGATCATGGGATGATGATGTTACCTTCAATTTATAACTTTCGATTAAACGAAACACCAAAACATCTCCTTCAATCAAGTCATGTGCAACCACAAAAATTTTCCACCCTGCACTAAGCCCATTTTTGTTTGCGATATATTTGACTTCCCATTTTTCCCCAATTTCATCTTCAAGTATCATTATACAGTCTTGTTTTGGTAGAAATGATCTGCAGAATGGTAATGGAAGCCCCTAAGGGAGGGGGGGGGGGGGGGGGGAGGGGGTAAGCATATTGTTATCATATTTTGTTTATTGGTTAAAGAAAGAGGGATTACCATCCAAAAACCATAGGTGACATTTGTTCTAATCATCAGCTTTATACAGCTGGGAAACTCGGTTCCAAGGCTTGATTGAAACTCCTCTGCAAGAATCATTGCAGGTGTTGATGGAGTTGGAGATTTGGAGCCTTTAGTAGGAGACTTTCTTTTCTTCAAACTGCATGTCAAAACCATCATTTTCTGATTTTACATAGCAAGATACAAGAGCTGCAAATCAAAACTGACCTCGAAGATGGGATTGGAGTATTGTTTACTACCTGTTGATGAAATCGAAAACTGTGAACTTCATGGAATGTAGAAAGAATGGTTAAATTTCACTGTATATATGATCGCTAAAACCCTAAACAGTAATATGCTTTGTGTTCGTAGCTAAATAGAGGAATTTATGTTATTCCAAACATTTTTTCAACAAAAGTTAAAGAGATTTTCCTTTTACCCCAATTTTTTCTCGGATCCAATTAGGTACTATTCAAAATTTAATAAAGTGTGATCTAGAGTGTGAAATTCAAGCAACTTCTTACGATCTTGATCTTCGGAGGCAGACGTTCCGTCTCTACCTCAGTCGGAGGGTCCTCAAATCTGATCGGCTTCGACTTTCTCCGTTTAGACTGTCGAAACACAATTAGATCCAGTGTTAACTAACTGATTTCCAGCATACATTGAAATTTTGATGATGAACATTCAACGAGAAGAGATGAGAGGTACCGATGAAGGAGTATATGGATCATTATGACCAGTATTTGAGGTTTTCGTCAACTGAGCGAAAATACTGTAGTCTTCTGCAGAATTGGGGCTTCCCAAGTAGTTTTTTGCAAGAGGAGGATTGGAATATCCTACGGCGAAGCTGTCTTCTTCGGCCACCGGAGCTGCCATAAGTTGTAGTTTTCGAGACGGTGGAGAGAGAGAGAGAGAGAGAGGGGGAGAGAGAGGTTGGAATCGGAAGCTAGATTAAAGTGGCCGTTGGTTCAACAATGGCTCGTCGCCTCGTTACACGTGCTAGTCGAACACTTGAAAAATAGATATAGCAAAAGAAAGATTTTGTTTTTAACTTATAAAATAAATAAATAAATAAACCTGATAAGACTTTCGATTTTAGCGTTATTGTTTTTTTATAAAAACCTCTTTAAACCACTTATTGTTGCGTGACGCAGCACACGCGCAACACTTTCCCTCTCGCAACAGTTTGTTTTTTTGGAAGACTTCAAACTACAAAACTTCTGCGCGTGTGCTGCGTGGCGCAGCACTTGACTTGCCTCTTCTAACCTCTTCAGCTTTCATTTTTTCGAAGTGTTTTTTTAAGAATTTTTATATAACTTTTTTTTTTAATTTTTTTTTTAAACTTTGATTTTCTTAAATTTTTATTTACGGATGTGATACAATTTATTTTTATAATTTCAATGATTTTTTAATTTGTTTTTTTTAATGTTTTTTTACCGTTTTATTAATAATATTTTCAATTTCAGTTATATCTTTTTTAATGTGTGTAATTTTTTACGAACTTTGTAGACAACGTTTGCAATACTTTCTTAATTTTTTTTATAATTTTCTTTTTTAATGTTTTTTAAAATTAGTTTTTTTTTTCTAGAATAAAACTATTAGCCTCTTTTATATTTTTTTAAGTTTTTTTTTTAATTTATATTTTTGTTTTTTACATGTTCTTGTTTATATTATTTCAATGTTTTAATGCTAGAATTATTAAATTTCAATGTTGAGAACTATTTTCAGTTTATAAAATTAGTTTATTTAAATTTTAGTTTACTGCAGCAGTCTGCAGCCGTTTGTTCCACCTCTTCTGCTACAGAGGATTGCAGAGGTGGTCTGCAGACTTCATGAATTTTCGCTTCGAAAAAACAAACAGCACCTTAGGTTGTCCGAAATACTCTTTACAAACCACTTCGGCACCATTGTCTTCAACCTTCTTTCTACAACAAACCCGATATACACCCTAAAGTGATTTTGGTCGTGGTAGATTTAACCTGCAGGAGAGAATAAGAGATATTGTGGTGGGCAACATGCAGGTCAGTACCACGGGAGGACTCGGGTTGTGTTATGTAGGAAAATGTGTTTAAGGTTATTAACTATTGATAATATTTTTAATAATAAGAGGGTATTTTTAGGTTGTCTTCAAGACTCAAATTAAGTAAAATAAATAAATGAGAAATTTGTTTATTAATTATTATGGTTAATAATTAATTAGAAACTAATCATAAATATATTTTGAGAATTAATTAACAGCTTAATTAATCAAATGGTTGAATATTCAATTAATCAATAGTTGATTGATCAGGATGTTCCAGAACCCTTGTGGAATTATGGTTAGATAAAAATAGGGATGAAAAAAAAGTGCAAACCCAACGGGGAAACCCAGCCATTTCGGATTGTTATCGGGTTTTTTATCGGGTTCGGGGCAGGGAGTGGGTTATCCTCTCCCCGACTTGCCCCACCCCGATTATATATATATATATATATATATATATATATATATATATATATATATATATATATAATTATCGAAACCTTTTGATATTAATTGCACGCGTTCAAAGATAAAATACTTATTGTGGACAATCATTTTTGTTATTAACAATCTGGTGTGAATGATCATTTTTTTATGTTTTGACGTATTACACTAAACTTAAATCAAATAATTTTTAATATAACGTCCAAATTATTTTATTAGAGTGATGCATCATATTTTTAATATAAAAGAGAGGCTAGAACATGTATTTTTTATAAGATATCGGGGTACCCTAAAACGGAATAAAGATTTTGTTATAAAGTATTGTAAACCCGATAAGATACCCGAAACCCAATGGGGTGCCCCGATAAGATACCGGAAAGATATCGGGACGGGTTCGGAAAACCATGTCCCGCCCCGAACCCGCCTCGTTGCCATTCCTAGATGAAAATCACTCCATCCTACATGGGAAATTAGTGAAATTCGTTCTAGGTATTTCATCCCACATGGGAAGGAGTACATAACCTAAGAAGGCATCCAAGACTATAAATATGGTCTTATGAATTTCATTCTTCCTTGCACTTTGGCTTGAAGTTTCGTCAACCATTTTTCCTTCCCTCCTTAGGGACGATTTCTATCACTCTTAAGGTTTGTGAAATTGACCATTCTTCTAGTTATTTATATTCCACTATTTGGTGTTTCCTAAAAACAAACTAGCAAATTAAAAGAAATTAGCAAATTAAAGTTAGGCCACAGGTGAGATCTGCAATCAATCATATATTTTGATGAAACCATGCAACACTCTTAAAACTTATCGGGTGAGATCTTCAATCAATCATATATTTTGATGAAACTATGCAACACTCTTAAAACTTATCTATACACCATTACCTTTGTCACGAGTGCTTTATGCAACACTCTTATAACTTATCAATACACCATTACCCTTTAGTGCATATGAAATAATTTTGGAATTGTCAATTTTAAATCAAGAGGTTTGCTTATCGAAGCTACTTTATAGTCATCATATATGTTATATTTTTAATTTTCGCATTTTGATATAGAATTAATAAATCAACTAATATATATACACACACACATGCAAGACCCTCTTCTGAAAGATTAGTCTGTCTATGTCTCCCCACCGACCACTCCTCACGCCTCCTGGTAAGCTGGTTGCTTACTTGCTTAATCACGCATCTGTCATCCTGAGTGTCACACCCCCAAACCGGAACGGCGGAAACGTTCGGGGGTGGAGGATGTCATGCTCAGTATCATAACCATAGTGAAGAAAGTAAACACAACCATTAAAATATAATTTAAAAGGTTACATCATTGCAAAATACATGTTTCCAAATAAATTACATATGATGTCAAAATAGTTCAAAAGAAATCTACGCATTAGTGTCTTGTCTTCAAAAAGTCTTGTGATTACCTGTATTACTGTTTACCTGAGAATACAAGTTGTTTTTGAAAGAGTATCAGCATTAAAGTTGGTGAGTTCATAAGCAATTTATGAATGAAAAATGAATGTTGTTCCTTAAAGTTTTGTTATAAGTTTGTTTCCAGAAAATCCAATATTTTCAAAAAAATTTATTATAGTCTTAACCGAACCAAGACTTAGCATATGTAAGTAAATCATCATACTTATATGTGGTTTCATATGTAAATAAAACTCTTTTTTGTGAAATCCTTAAATTCCCTGTGAACGGCGTGTTTGTTAATTTCTCATGTGAGTTGTTATAACCATACTATGACTCGAAGACCTCGTACTCGACGTTCTTCAAGCGTCGGAATGTTATGACACTTGTCACGCCAGACCTGCCGGTCTAGCTGTTGCAAGCAGCTCAGGTGCGGGTTGTCAAACCCAATATAGATCTATATACAACTATCACGTTCTCCCTACAAGAGATTCTGGCTATAACTACAGGAATTTTTTGTAGTACTAAAGAGTACTCCGAAGATGAATGTCTCACAAATTTAATCATTAACACGTTCACGTAGTTTGTAATAAAATGCTCGATTTGTAAATCAATAGTATTACCAATTGTGGCATCCAAACTATATCTATTATAGTTTTATCAAAATATTTTCTATTGTAAATAAAACCTTGTTATGAATGACCTTGTATTTCAATAAAATGACATTTAAAATGCTAAATATAAAATCTTACACACCTTTCTCAACATGTTACAAGGTGTGGATAACTCTTAAACTTGTTTTAACATTTTAACACTTAACTGTCACCGTTTTAGGTTATTTATAGAAAAATCATCATTAGTCAAAAAATAAATCCGTAAACTCAGAGAGTTTGTAAAAAGAGTCTACTATATTCACAAATTTTCTTATAATTTTTGGTGGTCTCAAACCATTGTGAAAATATTCATTTTCACAACCTAGTCTGATTTCGTTACTACAGTGATAGGTAGTTTTGTAAAAATCACAAAAAATTGTAGAAAAATCGTATGAAGATGTGAACATGGTCATTTTAAAGGAATAAACCTGAACTATTTGCATATTGAACAGTTTTGAAAAATATTAAGTTTAAGTTGGGTAAAACAGTTCGTGAACAGGTCACAACTTTTATGTTGTAAGTTGTCAAGTTAAGTTTCAAATATGTTTTGGTGTTTTAACTTGTATCCCCCCCTGAAAACTAAAGAAAACTAGAAAATGTAGGGGTATGAACTCACCTTTAGTGATTCTTGGAAGAGTGGAAGGTCAAAGATAAGGAGTATCAAGAACACTTGATGAACACGTAAAAGCTTGGATAATCCTAAGAACGATTCTTTGGCGTTAGAATGTGTGTAGATGATTCAAGGATGTTATGAAAACATGGAATAACACTTGAGTTTAGAGGAAGTACATACCAAAAAGTGAAGTAATAACTCAAGAACACTTCCAAAAGTGGCTGGAAGTTGAGAGAAAATAAGCTTCTTTGTGTGGTAAGAAAGGTGGAAAAGTGTGGGAATGATCAAGTAAATCAAGAAATCCTCCAAGGATTTCTTGATATAGAGGAGTTGCTGGAGCAAGTTGTGAGTTTAAAGTGATGTGTGCATTGGTTTGCGTGATGTGGATAAGGTGGCAAGTGAGAGGGTGACACATGGAAGGCAAGTGTGCATACTTGACCCACTTGTGGGGTAATTATCCTCTTAATATAAAATAATGATTTTAAATTAATAAATCCTTGAGAAATAAATAAAATATGACTTCTGGGAGTTTAAAATAGTAAAAATATGAATTTGGTGAAAAAATCCCATAAAAAACGTTAAAAACAGGCTTAGGATGCGAAAGTAGTCGAAAACCGGGAGAAGGAAGCGAACCCACGAGGTTCGGCCCTTAGGAGGTGAGAACCGAGTGAATGGAAGGAGGAGGGACCGAAGGTGCGAAGGTTCTAGCCCGAAGGTAACAGAAGCGAAGGTGGGTTTCGGACCCGAAAGGAGGGTTTCTATCACACCCCAAAACCAAGAACGGCGGAAACGTTCTGGGGCGGAGGACGTCATGTACAATATCACAACAA